TCAGGATCTTTTCCTGATCTACTCTTCAACGAGAAGCTGATTTGTTCTCTGTCACAGTAGATTGTTACTGATGGTGACTTGCCAACGGATATTGAGTATCTTGCGTAGACAACTACTTATAAATGCCTATACCTTTTTGATGATGATGGTTGTAGTAGTCCTGAAAGTTTCAGCTCTGTACAACCAAACTGTCTTGATGTTTGTATTGAAGATTCTGAATTTGTTGTTGTTTGACAGCTGTTTTGAGTTTCAGATGTTCTTTAATTGTAAGAATCCTGCCCTTACTTCTTCAATCCATGTCTTTTTTGTGCTCTATTGATTTGAGTTCAACTTGGAATATACATCCCGGCTACCGTCGTGTATAATTATCGACTTGATTCTCCTTAAAAAATAACGGAATAAATACGAAAATGAATATTGGATACGTATATTTCATGCACTAGTTGGTCCAGACAGACAATCAGAAAAACAAAGTGGAGAAGGCAACCGTGCCAATTCCATTTGATCAAACTTGACTCTATTTATAACTAGAAAGAAATAAGCTCTAAACGTACGATGAATAGTGTAGGCAATACTCACACACGCTCATATAAAAACAGTCAGGGTTAGTAAACGAATAATTTACAAAGTCAAAATGTGACTCAGGATGGATAAATAAACTGGTCTCTCCCGAAGCTAGAATAACCTATGTGGGGTTGATGCAGCACCAGACACTACACTTTCACATCTGCATCAGATCCCCATCGTTTATCAGTCATGTATCCTAGTTAAGCACGTAAACGTTTCTACCACTTCTAGAGCATAAAATGTTATTGGGTTGGTGCTCTGTGTTATATTTTAGGGTCTTGCTTTTTCCCTTGTGTATGTTGAGGTCTACTACTGCTACGCTGGCTATTTTCACCTGTATTTGTTGGTGAGTATTGGATAAAAGAGTTAGGTCATCTGTGAAGTCCGAATCGTCTAGTTGTATTCAAGCTATCCATTGTATTCCGTGCTTTCCCTCAGATGCAAAGGTCTTCATAATCCAATCAACCACCAGAAGAAAGAGAAAGGGTGAAAGTAAGCGGCCATGTCTGACACTGGTCTTCACTTGAAGTGCATATGTCAGCAGTATTCCATGCACGACTTTGCAATGTAGTCCGTCGTATGAATCTCGGATGGTGTTAGTGATTTTCTCACGTACACCATGGTGTCGAAGAAGATTCCATACGGTCCTTCTATCCACACTCAAAAGCTTTCTCATAGTCAAGGAAGTTTATGTATAGTGACGAGTTCCATTCAAATGGTTTTTCAACGATGATCCGTAGTTTGGCGATTTGGTCTGTTTACTACCGATCCTTATGGAATCCGGTCTGTTGATCTGGAAGTTGAACATCTGCTGAACCCTTCATTTGGTTCAGCAACACTGTCGAAAACGTTTCCTGTTACTGACAGTAGTGTGATTCCTCTGTAATTCTCACATTTGCTCAGATCTCCTTTCTTTGGAATCTTGATTAGGTATCTTTCTTTCTAGTCCATCAGTGGCATTTGTTCTTCCTCCCGAATCTTCCTGAATAAACTGTGAAGCATGCTTGCAGTTACTTCTACGTCTGACTTCAGAGCTTCAGGTGGTATATTACCCGGTCCTACTGCTTTCCAACTATTGATTCGTCTGATGACCATCCTGATTTCGTTGGTGGAGTGACATCTATAGGGCAGTATCTGTGTGCTACTTTGATGTACGGTGGACTCAATGGATCTGACCTATTCAAGAGGTCTTCAAAGTGTTCTACCCATCTGTTACTCTGTTCTTAAATCTCAGTGATTATCTCACCTTTATCCTTGACTAGTCTATCTGGTTTGCTATGTTTCCCTGCTAATTTCTTCGTTATGTCATATAGCTGTCTCACATTTCCTTCTCTTGAAGCATTTTCCACTATCGTTGCTAGCTGTTCCACGTATTTCTGCTTGATGACTCTAATGTTGTTCTCTACTTGCTTGTTTACTTCTGTGTATTCAGCTTGTGTCTTGACTTTCTCTGAACTTGTTCGGCTGTTATTAATTGTTATCTTCTTGTTCTTCCTTTCTTGAATCCTGTTCATGGTTCCCATAGAGATCCATTCCTTATGATTATGCTTGCTGTAACCCATCACCTCCTGAAACGTTGAAGTTAGTGCTTTTTTGATCCATTTCCAGTTGTACTCCATCGTACTTTCTTCTTCTTTGATCAGATCTTGTAAGGCTTGGAACCTGTTGTTAAGAGCTATCTTGAATTGGTTGATTTTGTCAGTATGTCGAAAGAACGCTGTATTTAACCTTTGTCATGCCGTTTCTCCAGTTAATCACTGCTTCTCTAGATTTAGTTTTCTTACTAATGTAAATGTGATTGATCTGGTCCTCTGTAGTGTGGTTCTGTGAAGCTGACTTAGCTTTGTATGGGGTCGTAGATGAATACTGCTGAGAGTCCTGCGCTAGGACCGAAGGGATCGCCCAGTGCTTCCAGATTCTCGATGGTGGTCGAACACTAATCATTTCACGATCGCAATAAAAGTGAATAATTGTTATTTAATGTTGCTAAGCTGTGATCTGAAGATTTGTCTTACAACCAGTTAGTTACAATTTTAAAAATCGTTTCACCTATTACTTGATTACCTGAACAAGGATGTTATCTTCAATAAGATTGTTGAGGACACCTAGGTTAAGAGACCTAGCTATCTATTCATAAAACTTGGCATTTTGTTAAAAGTAAAGGGATACCTCCAACATTTTATTAACATAATGTGAACATTTACAAAGGTATGATATTAAAATGAATTTGTATATAAAAGGTTTGAATATGGAGACTGATCATTTAGTCTTTAGTATCAATAATGGTGAGATTCAAACTGTTTTATGTTGAACAAGCTTATGGTTAACTGAAGTCAGAAGCTTAATATAGAGTGGTTTTTCGTTTAAAACATTTTAGGTTATAAAGTTCGAGTCTCAATGTGAACAATGACAAGTTGGGCAAAATCAGATATACCTCATACCTATACTCATATATGCCGTTTCAGTAGCACATAATATTGATCATGATGGAAGTTATGGCTTACGGTGATTCTAATTATCAGTAGACGTTAGCGAGATACTATGGCTAAATACCCAAATAGCATTAGTTCTCTTCGTAACTATATAAGTGACTAAACAACTAGCGTTAAAAAAATATTCCGTCTAATATTATTGTATATTATATCCCCTGTTTTCTATACTACAAATGCATTCCACACAATCTAATAACCACAGGTATGAATAAACGGTTAAAGTTTTTGCAAATCTATTCTTTCGAATGGCTGTATTATGGGTACTCCGTTATTAAAATTAATTTTAAGAATTGGAATTCGATAACTGTTCTTAACGTGAAAGACTCAACTAATCAAACAGCATTTCAAATAATTTGCTATCAACTATATGATTATTTTTGTAGATTATGGAACGTACACTTAGACACAAATTAAGTCTTTTTCCTCAGGAAATGGATAACAGTTAATAATCTCGTATTACTTAATTGTAGGATAGACACGCTAGAGTACTTACTGCTACATAAAGCCTGGAAATGACTATATATAACTCAAACTACTTGTTAATAACAAGTAGTATTCCGTCGAACAAAAAAATGGAGTGCAAAGGAATCTCGTCACGAATGTTCACGTTTTGTATTTTATTGAAGAGCTAATGTTAAGATATTGCTCAGTTTTAAAGTAATTTTCATCACGAAATAACTCGGGCTGGAGAGTTATTGAAATAGTTAGGAAACGCTAGGTAACTGTTTCTATTTGCTGAGATTGTTTAGTACAAATATTTCATGATGTTTAGGACCAAACCCATGAACTTGAAAGTCCTCTCCTCAATGATCCCTCGTCTAAACAACTTTTTATCTTACTAGTTATTTGTTTAGGTAGGATTTAGTCGATTTACTCAACATAAATCAAATTTTCAGGGAAAAATGAGTCCAAACCAGTTCCTCTTAAAGATTACTGCTCTGATTCATGTGTTGATAAAGCTATAATACCAGGTTACATATCTGTTTTGTCATAACTGAGGCGTATGCTGTTAGTGGCTTTTCAAAGTGATAAGATTGTGCTCTTCAGGTTTATCAATCTAAATACTCATCATATTACACTTCTCATTTAATAGATGATGACTATAAATTGCGAGCACAGTTTGATTCTAATAAGTACCAATCAACTAATTTAAGGGGGTACCAATTCAAGTTAAAAATTTCATTGAAAATCTTAAGTTGCTAGTTGTTACATATCTCTTATTGATACGGTTACGAATTAATTAAAATGATGAAAATCACTTTCAATAACTATAATGCTCTACTGAATGAGTAACTCTATATCCATCTTTTACGAAAGCGGTTACTGAAGACAAGACAACTTTTTCGCACAACAGAAATACGGATTAATATAGCTAGTTGGTTACTATAAAGAAAATAAACATGTGACCTACTTTTCCTCAATAAAACGAATAAATGGAAACTTGATGATAAGATGAAAATACTACGGAATTAAATTATATTTAATAACCGCTTTTTGTAGTCAGATTATTACATCACTGAACCGACAATCTGTAAATTCACAGTTATTTAGTCTGATTCCGAATGTATCGTTAAGCTTAGGTCGTTTATTTTATATAAATTCCTTTTGGTATAAATATTACTGTACTTATCATTACTAAATATTTGATGACTTAATCAAATGTCATCAATCCAAATTCAGTTCTAACTTTATCTTGATTACTGACTTTCCAGTTTGACAAGTACATTATGCTCTCCCATCTCTCTACCTTCTTGTAGTCATGTCTACTATTTTCATTTAAATTTCAAGTCGATCCTATTTTGACTGGTTTATCTTATTTGATGTGCGATTGGTTAAAAACAGTTTTTGCGTTAATTAGGCCAATAAAAACAAAGGAAAATGGGTGAAGATGAATATATCTAGCGCTGATTCATTTAATTTTCCAGTTATCTGTTTATCAATATTTGTACTATTGGAATCTATTTCCCCGATCGATTTAAATTATTTATTTATAACTAATTGAAGGTTAGTCATTTGTAAATTTTAAGGATGTTTGTTCGAAGATTACAGGCAGTCTATCGCCAAATTTTCAAATAACTGGTGTGTATTTTACACGCTTTGATTAGCTTCGACTGACAAGGTATTTTTTTATAGCTTTTTTATTAAAATAAAGAAAATAACACATGAGGCTCTGGCTGGATGGAGAAGTAAGCTTGAGATTATCCATTATGTGACTTATCAACTGAAATACATAATATAACTCCCAATATTTTATTTCAGTCATCAATTACTCTGTTTAGCTTCTTATAGACTGAAAGATACACATTTATTTCAATTAATGCAACAGGTAATATAATGTGACTACTCAGAATTCAGCACGCAAGACCTTATCAATAATCGAACACAGGGACTTTCAGTCTCCCAACGAACAATTAACACTTAAACCACTAAATCGGGATCCAGTGATTCACTTGTATAATTGAAATTAACTCGTGATACTGATCATCCATCTTCGAATGTCACTAATGCGTTAGTATCTCAAGTTCTATATGTTTGAACTCAACTAGTCACGATATCTAACGAGAACTTCTGGATTAATCTCTGACACTAATAATTATATGGCCTCTCTAAATTTTCAAGTACTTAATTGTTTAAGTAAATATACTTCATTATATTAGATTCGGAACTGTTAACAATAAACCGAGTCATATAAAATCACAAACTGAATATATTCGTTACAAAACTTTAGCAGTTTCACATTGAATATTAAGATAATAATAGTAGTAATAATATGTAATAATGTCCAGTTAATGCTCTGAAAAATTTCCTGAAATACATCATAACACCAAAGATGACCTCTTTTTTATCTTAACTGTACGGTATGATTAAATTTAATTTTATCGAATAAAATTGACATATTGAGACAGAACTGATTCTTTCTATGTGGTAAAATGTGATATATACAATACTGCAATCCAATTAAGTTCACTTTATTCCATACACTGTCTATATTACAATTGAGTTATCATGGACCTTTTATTATCAGTTGTTGTAATACATATTTAAAGGAATTGATTTGAAAATTATTATTGTAGTACATGAAATAGATGAAATGATGGTTTTACTCATAGGGTTAATTTTACAGATCACAATTGTGATTAATATCATAATAGATAAAACTATTTGTTGTGATTGATCTAAGTAGTATGTGATAAAATATGATTATTTTATTGGGTTTCATAATTTATTCGAATGATTATGAGCCGCTGTTTTCTACTCGAATGTTTTTGGAGTTATTGACTTGATATTATTATTAAGTTTCGAGGACTTCAAGCAGAGATGGATGGTGACCAACAGTGAAATAGTTACTGAATCCAGACAGTCACTATGTTGTGTAATGATTGTGATGAATTTTAATTCATATTTATTGGTTGTTTGAATAATCCCATTGACGTTTACAACTACAAGTCCATTGATAATCACCACCCATCTCTACTTAAAATTAATATTTTAACTTGAGTAGTATATGTATATCAATAAACCAATATTATTTCATGTAATTAACTTGAAGTGACACATTTACCAAACGATGGATAGTGGCTAGCAGTGGAATCCAGGACGTCCTATTTGGGACTCGTCAGCTGGATGTACCTGCATCTCAGAGTTGATGTTCACTCTGGGACTCGAACCCAATATCGTTTGCTTCAAACGCCATCGCGTTATCCACTTAGCTACTGAGTCTATCTTTGCTTATAATGCTTGTAAATTAAGGCAATATCGAGGCAATACGCACAGTATGCACATATACCAATAAGAGACTGATCAATTTCAGTCCTAAACATCAATGGGAAGATTCAAGTAAAACAACACCAAGTGGATCTGTCTATTCGACTATATAAATTAAGTTGTTTGAAACTGGATTATTTCAACAATTAATTAATCTTCGTTATATATTTATTCTACACAAGTTCATAGTTTGTAGTTTTCAATTCATAAAATGAATGTACCATTACAATTCATTATAAAATTAATGCTATAATACTCAGTTCATGCAACTAATAGTACACTTTGAAATTACTGTTTAGTAATCAATTTGATTTACACAATTTTTAAATTCAAATATTTCGCGCTTAAAAGGTTTGTTACTTATTTTAATCCTACTAATGGCTTACTGCTTTAATTCCAAGTTCTTTGATTTGATTAATTATGTCAACTTCTTAAAAGAAGAAGAAGAAAATCTTTTGATAATTAAAGGTATATTTTGTAAAAATCAAGATTCTAACCAGTCATAAATAAATTAGACTATTTAATTGAGCTTCCCATGATTTTAGATTCATCTGTATTAGTGTTGATACATTCATTCTTTATCTTCGCTTTAATCTTGAATTCCAATAGTCCATCATACAAACCTATCAACTCTGTCAATTTAAGTAATATATTTCTATGACTTAGTCCCTTTTTTAATCATTGCTACGATTATTACAATTATTATCCCTATCCCTTTGGTTACTTGCATCTTATCGTGCTATTCAGATCTGGAAACTTTGGTTAAGATACATATGTGTAAGACTCTGTGTTGATATCTGTCTGTCTATCCATCTGTGTTTCATTTTTCACGATGCGTCAATATGTCATGGTCGCTTTGTTAAAGCATCATTTTCATAAATTGCTCATATTTCCTTACAGAATATATATAATTAGAGTAATGTCGTCGGTTACAGTTAATACATTTTGTGCTTAAATAGCAATTACTTAACCTTATCGCATAAATTAGTATATCGGATGATTTTCTAATTCGTAAGGAATTGACAGTAAATTATCACCTCATAATGAATAAATCAATAGCAAACTTATTTCTAATTAACCATATGTACCGCATTAATACTAATGCTGATTAGTATTGAATTGAATCTGTAAAATATGAATTTCACAGATCTCTACGTCTACTTCACTCAATAAATATTCATTATTCTGAACTTGAGATAAATACCTGCATAATTTATTGAGTTTATAACGGAATAAATCTAGTTTGACAGTGATAGTAAATCAACAAGCATTGGACAGTAATTTTGTTCTAGTACGAGACTCTTCAGCAGTAGATGTTCATCTACAAGTGTTATTATTTACAACTTTCAGTTACAGCAATCTAGATTTGTTTAATTCGATGGTTTATGTAAATCGCTTAACTTTAAAGAAGGTGTTCATTATGAATTAACATCTGTGAACTACAGTCTCAAATAAAACAAATGTCCTTACTTCTAAATGATCTTGCAATCCTTTTTCCAGAAGTTAATTATTTATGTAATTCCAAAGGTTTGTAATTTGAATCGGCTAAATTCTATTCACACTTTAATCATAATCTATCCAGTCAATTGAAAATAGAAACAAAAATTTTACTTTTTATTCCCATTATATATGTACAAAAACAATTTGTACTTGCACTACATCCACCCTGATAAAATTGATTTATTATCTAGAATCATGTAATTTGTATTGTTTTTTCCAAATCATCTTTGACTATCTCCCTATTTGTATCAGAAGGGGTTTTGTGGAGATTGTAGTAATTTCAACAGTTGAGATCATGAGTCAATTGAAGCTATACCACCATGGAAAACCTGGAAGCACTGGACGGCTGTTTCATCCCATTGTGGGACTCCTCAGCAGTGCACATCCACGACCCGCACCCCACGAGATTCGAACCCGGGACTTATCAGTTTCGTGCCAGGCGCTTAACCAACAAGAGCCGGCATCCAACGGTACTAATGTAGTAATTTCAACAGTTGGTTAAGTGCCTGGCGCGAAGCTGATAGGTTCTGGGTTCGAAGCTCGCGGGGGCGGGGCCGTGGATGCGCACTGTTGAGGAGTCCCACAACAGGACGAAAAGGCCGTCTAGTGCTTCCAGGTTTTCCATGATGGTCTAGCTTCAATTGACGCATGATCTCAACTGTTGAGATTATCTCCCTATTTGTCTAGTTTAACCTTCAATTTTTTTAAATATATAAATATCTTAACAAGTAAATATAGGATCAGATTGTTTAAAACATATTGGACTAGTGTCTACATAAATATCATATAGTTTGAATGAATTCAGTGTTCTCATTATGTTGTTTAAACTAATCTAAAGAAATAATTTTTTTTAAAATTTTCTTTTCATTTCGATCAACTTTCAGTTATTGACTTTTTTATTCATTAGATATTTTTCAGTATTTGGTTATTAATTAGATAAATATTTTATCATTGAAAAATGATTGATCACAGATTGAATGTAACTTACATTGGTCTGCTTAAATGTTCCTACTAGTCTATATATATATACATTAGATCGATTATACTTACTAGAAAATAACCACTGAGTATAATTGTCGATCATTAATAATACACACTATTATTATTATTATTATTATTATTATTATTACTATTGCTACTACCTATTAAACCATCTGTCCACTACTCATAAACAATTTATGTAGGACATTATTGCAATTTTAAATCATATACACAACAGACATTTTGAATAGTAGTCAATTTATACAGTGAACTCAGACAGATGGTCAGCATGAACTTATATCCAAAATGTATTTTTTTTTTTAAAAATAAAAAATAAAAAAGGAATTTTTATTGCAATATAGGCTCTAGATAATAACTTATTCTAGAAATGTCAAGCTGTGAAAAAGTGCAAATCAACCCCCCCCCGTCATCCCCCCCCCTTTGTAATTGTCACTAACTAAAAAAAATTCGTATTGATAAAGTAAAATCATAAGTAAGAGAGAGAGAGAGAGAAAGAGAGAAAACAACACAAAATTAACAGTCTGAATATTTATGTTTTATTATTTTTATAAGTAGATTGTCTTAAACTACATATTTGCATTCAAATATTCAACATGTTTTATAGATTTTGATTTTATACTCTGGATCATTTTGATTTTTATAAACTGTCATAAATGAAATGACTTTTCAATGAGTATATATTGGAAAAGATAGACATTTTAATATATTGGCTATGGTGTCTTCAAATAATTATACAC